AGAAGAGAGAGGGCATTCCTGAAAGAGGCTAGCTGGTATTGAGTATCAGACTGGGAAGGGTAAGAAAGGTATCCAGGATAGAGAATAAAGAAGTCATCCAGCATGGGAAATCAGAACCCAAGCAGAATGGGAAAGCATTATGTGAGAGAGATAGGATGAGGAGTCAGAGCAAAGCAGGTCAGAGCAAAGTAGAGGGCTTCCAAAAGATGGCAGATTCATTATATATGGGGTTTTGATCAAATAAATACGTTATTAAGGATATAATCAATTTCTTGCTACAAATAAATGCGTTATTAAGGATATAATCAATTTCTTGCTACTTATTTTATTCATTGTATTCATCAGGCAAATCCTCACCTTTAGTTAAATTACACTTAGTGCATGTCACTGAAAAATTGAGCGACACTGAAAAAATACACACAATCACAATGACTGGTCTCCTTAAATTTTCACATGTAAACCTTAAGTGACCTCCTGACATCATCATGCAATACTGTAATACCTTGATAGTCAATCTACTTTCTGAAGTAAAAACTATTTCACACATTTTCTAGCTTCAAGCAACCCTTTCTTCCACTTCCAGACAATGACTTTCTCTTTTGAGAACTACAGAGCAATCAAAAGAGAATTTTTTTTCACCACTATCTTTACCAATCTTATATTCCACTTCCCATCCTGTTAAACTAGATAAACAGTGCATGCTTCTGTTAGCCCCTCCAGCTGGGCTTGCCTAGTGAATGATTTCGCTCTGCAATTATCTTCTCTCCGCATCAATTTTTCCCTCTACCACAGTCATTCTCATTATTCTATATTCTAGTATACCTCACTTTTAAAATACAAGAGCAATAACCTTTATCCTGTAAACCTCTCCAACTACTATTCCATCTCTGAGTTATAGCAAAATTCATAAAGGTTATAGTTTCATTTTCCTTCTGGAAAAAGAGGATTTTTCTGATTACTGAAACTGACTTTATCAAGAACATCAATGGACTCCACACATCCAAATACTCCTTTTACTTCAACTATGAACACATGTAGAGTTGATGGCTTCCTTTTAATACTTTATTTTCTTGTCTCCCAAGACCTCACTCTCCTAATTTTCTTCTTCCTTTACTAATTATTCTTTTACTATCTTCTGCTGGCTCCTCTTCTTCCTGTTTTTTGTTTTGTTTTTGGTGGTACTAGGGTTTGAATTCAGGACTTTGTACTTGCTAGGCAGGTTCCCTACCAGTTGGGTTATGCCTCCAGCCCTTCTTTCTGGAGGGGCATTAGCTCTAGTGCTCTAGGTTCAGGTCTTAGACCTCTTCTCTCTATTCACTCCCTGTCTGTTCTCATCAGGTTTTAAAAATTAACTGTACTTTTTCTAGCCCTAACCTCTCAACTGGACAAACTTTTATTTGCCAAATGTAAAGCTCCTTTGGATATGTGACTGACATCTCAAATTTACATGTTTAAACCAGATCTACCCAGATCTACTTTCTCAAGCACAAAACTCTATAGAGTTATGCTTGATGGTTCTATTTCTTTCATACACCATTATCCAAACCACTAGCAAATCTACTGGTTCTTTCTTCAAAACAAATCCCAAATTCAAGCATCTCTTATCAATTCTACTACCTTAACTAGGCCACCAATATTTTTCACCTGGATTATCACAATCCCCTTGTCTTTTCCCTCCTATCTTTGCCACCTACAGATAGTCTTCTCTTGGTAGCCAAACAAATCACTTTGAAACATAAATCAGATTCTGTCTTTTCCCTATTCAATATCGTTCAATAGATTTTTTTTCTTCTTTTTTAGGTGGCACTGGGGATTGAAAGCTTTTTTTTTTTTTTTTGAACAAATCAAACTTGAGATGCTCATTAAATATCCACATAAAGAGGTGGACATCTACGCCTAAGCTTAAGAAAGGAATTAGGGTTAAATATACAAATCTGGGAGTCAACAGCACACAGTCAGTACTTACAGCTATGAGACTGACTGAGATTACCCAAGAATACAGAAAAGACTGAGTCTTAGGGCTCATCAGCATTTGAAATCAAGCCACAGTGGACAGAAAGCAAAGTCTAAGAAATGGCCAGTGAAAAAGGAGAAAACCATAAGATTATGTTACAGAAACCAAAAGGGAACTTAAAAAAAAAAAGAAAGAATAACCCACTATATCAAATCCGTTGAGAAGTTAATCAGAATTAGAAAGTGATCACTGTGTCTGGAAACATGGAGATTACTGGTGATCAGAGTAGTTTCAGTAAAGAGAAATAAAGAAGAAAATCTGTATGGAGAAGATTGAAGAGAAAAATGGGAGACAATGAAAAGAAAACACTAAGTACATATAACCCTTGTTAATTTTGCTATAAAACACCAAAGAGCTAGGTGTGGTAGCACATGCCTGCAATCCCAGCACTGGAGAGGCAAAGGCAGGAAGATCAAGAATTCAAGGCCAAGCCAGGTATATATGCCTGTGATCCTATCTACTCAAGAGTGAAGACAGTAGTATAGAGAGTTTAAGGCCAACTTGGGAGTCGGGGGAGGAAGTAACATCAAGATCCTATCTCAAAAAAAGAGCTGGGAGTGTGGCTCAAGTGGTAGAGAGCTGGCCTAGCAAGTGCTGGATTCAATTCCCAGGAATCCTCCTTCTTCCCAAAAGAGTTACCGGCCAGCCTAGGCTACATAAAAGAGATTGTCAAAAAACAGCAAACAAGCTGGGTGCTGGTGGCTCACACCTGTAATCCTAGCTACTCAGGAGGATGGTGGTTCAAAGCCAGCCCAGGCAAATACTTCCATGAAATCCTATTTTGAAAAAACCCTTCGCAGAAAAAGGGCTGGCAGAGCGGCTCAAGGTGTAAACCGTGAGTTCAAGCCCCAGTACTGCAAAAAAAAAAAAAAAAAAAAAAAAGCAATTAAACCAAAAAGAAACAGAATAGCTTCCAGAGTATGTATATATAGTGATAAGGAGAAACAGCTGATACAGGAGAGAGAAGAAATTAAAAAATGAATCCTTGAGTTGGTAAGAGATAAAGGGGCTCTTGCCTCCAAGAGGAGTTAGTTGAAGTTTATATAAGATAATAAATAGGCAGGCATGGTGGTTCATGCCTGTAATCCCAGGATGCAAGAGGCCAAGGAACACAAGGATTTTGAGTTCCAGGTCAGCCTGGGCTATATAGTAAGTCATCTCAGGAGAGAAAAGAAAAAAAATTACCCTTAATAGAGGAGAGGAAACAATACAGGTACATATATAGGATAGTTTGGTAGCTCACATGATTGGAAAAATGAGGACATTTTCACCTGTTTCCTCTAATTTCTCAGTAAAATACACCAAAAGATCTAATTGAAGAGAAAGTAGGTTTAAGAAGGTGTGAAGCAGTCAGTTTAGAGACAGCCTGGTATATGTACTAAATGGTGTTACTACTTCTAAGATGAAATTCATAAATGTTTTCATAATTGCAGAGTCAGCTTAGTCACGTAAAAGTAGAGACAATTTTGCTGGCCAGTGGCTCACACCTGTAATCCTAGCTACTCAGAAGGTAAAGATCAGGAGGATCATGGTTTGAAAGCAGCCCCAGTGAATAATTTGTGAGACCCTATCTTGAAAAAGCCCATCACAAAAAAGGGCTGGTGGAGTGTCTCGAGGTATAGGCCTTGAGTTCAAGCCCCAGTACCATAAAAAAAAAAAAGTACAGACAATTTAAATGATCAGCAGGGGGTCAGCTAAATAGACTACAGAATATAAACTCAGTGGAAACTATTTAGTAATTAAAAATGATGAAATAAAAATGTGTTATCTATTAACAGATCTATAGTATATCACCAAATTTTTAATTTGTGCAATAAATTCCACTGACATACCAAAATACAAACGTAACAATATATTTATATGCTCATATAGGCATGGTCTTTTAAACCCAGAAAAAAGCCTCAAAGAATATACAATGAGGTGGAGTGGCTCAAGTAACAGCATGCCTGCATAGCAAGTGTGAGACCTTGAATTAAAAAAAAAAAAAGAATATACAATGAATTCTTAGTGGGACTGGTGCCAGGAAAGAGTGAGATAAGTACATGACCCCACTAAATAAGAATAATATAAAGGAGGTCAAGGTAGGAGGATCCTTGTCTGAGGCTAACCCAGGCAAAAGCACAAGACCCTATCTGAAAAACTAACTAAAAAAGCCAAAGGACTGGGTATGGCTGAAGTAGTACCACATTTGCCTAGCAAGCTCAAGGCCCTTAGTTTAATCCCCATTACAAATACAAAAATATTTAATAAGAATGTATATATATATATATATATATATATATATAGTATGTAATATGTATATAGTAGAGTTATATACACATAACAAGAAAAAACTACAGGCCAAATTCTATGTCCTCTATATATACTACTAGTATAGGTATCATAACTCAAACAAGAATTTCTATACAAAGATTTTCATCATGGCACATTTTAATGGAAAACTAAAAGCAATATAAATGTAAAAAATTATGCAATTATTACAAATGTTCATCAGTTATCATGTTTGTTTTGAAACAGGGTCTCACTCTGTAGCCCAGACTGACCTTCAACTATCCATCTTCCTGCCTCAGCCTCCTGACTGCTGAGATTACAGACCTTCTCGCCTGGCAAACATCACTCATTTTAAGTAGAAAATACTTCAGGTATACAAAAAAATATAAAGATTAAAAGAAGTACCCATGTAACAAACACCTAGATTAAGAATTTATCATAGTGTTTTAAGGACATAGGACATTATGATAATGCTTAGTGGGAAAAAAAATCCTGAATATAAAATTAGGTAAGAGTATGACCTCAGCTATGTAAAACAGTATATAAAGGAGAAAAATACATGAAAATATCAACAACAGTTATCACACTGGGTGCTAAAATTATGTGCAGGTGACTTTCTATATTTTTTGACTGTCGGGTTTCCTGCAGTAAGCTATTATCTCTGATAGTTATAAAATTTTATTTTAAAAATACAAAATTTTTCTAGCACCATTACCTTGGGGTCATGAACAAATGTATTTCCTTTGGTTCCAGGAGGGAAATCTCCAGTACAAATATATTTTAGACATTCAATGATGGTCTAAAGAAATAGAAAAGTATATTCTTTAGTTATCAGAGAACCACAGTTTATCACAAGTATTAATTATTAAAATATTTATCATGAAGCCTAAAAAAATCAGGTAAAATTTGACAACATAAAATGTGTAATAAAAATATGATTAAAGTCAGGTGCGGTGGTGCACACATGTAATCTCAGCACTCAGAAGGCTGAGGCAGGACTGCAAGTTTGAGACCAACCTGGGCCACATAACGAGACCCTGTCTCAAAAAAAAAAAAGTTTAAAAAATAATTGCTAAGTTCATAGAAAGGCTATATAATTAAAAAGGTATCCTAAAGTAAGAGTTATTTGGAAAAATAATTCTCTATTTTCAATTAACACCTTTTAAATTAATATTAAAAATGGCTGACAATGACAGAACTTCCTATGTGGCAAGTATTGTGCTAAGCACTTTTACATACCTTTAAATTCTCCCCTTAATCCTAGGCTGTGGAAACTATTTTTTGCCATTTTATAAATAAGCAAGCCAAGGCACAGGGCAATTAGGTCCTCCCCAGCAGTCACACAAGTAATACATGAAGCAAAAAACTTTGTATTTGGGAAGCCAGTGCTCATAAACACTCTATTAGTCTCTCAGTAATTCAATTCATATGACACTGAGCACATAATTGGCACTAAATAAACAACATTTTTAGAAAAACAAATACGAGTAGGCAGTCTGCCATCAATGCTGGACTTCCTACAAGCTTCTCACAAATTCTTCCCTTAAGACTCTTCTCATTGCTGTACTCTTATCATCTTGATTTTCTCAAGACCAGAATGCCTTTTGGCTATACCTTGCCCTCAAATTTTTAAATATTCCCTGGACTTTTTTTTTTTTTAATGGTACTGAGGCTCGAACTCAGGGCCTACACCTTGAGCCACTCCACCAGCCCTTTTTTGGTGATGGGTTTTTTTGAGATCGGGTCTGGCTTGAAACCCCGATCCTCCTGATCTTTGCCTCCTGAGTAGCAAGGATTACAAGCCGTGAGCCACCGGCGCCTGGCTCCCTGGACTTTTAATAACCGGTAAATAAGCTGTGCTCCCACTTTTTGACTGAGAGCATCATAAGAACAATATCGGATTTCACTTTTTTAAAGCCTCACTACATCGCTTTCACTTTAAAGTTAAGCCATTTATATTCCATTTATTATGCGTAACAGTCGGCACGCTTAGCTCTTAGTCGTGCATTTATCATATTCTGCCCCTTCTTAAGGAATTCCCTTTTGGGACAACTACTGGGAAGTGAATGCTTCAGAACAAGGAGGCGGGATTAAAATACTGTTCGTTTTCACTACTGCAGAGCTACATCTAAAGAAAAAAAGTGGGCCGGGCACCAGTGGCTCAAGCCTGTCATCCTACTCAGGAGGCAGACATCAGGAGGATCCAGGTTTCAAGCCAGCCTGAATAAACAGTGTTCACGAGACCCGATCTTGAAAAAAATCCAGGACAAAAAAAAAAAAAAAGGGGGGCTGGTGAAAGGTGTTAGGCACCGAGTTCAAACCACAAAAAAAAAAAAAAAAAGAAAAGAAAAGAAAAAGTGGACGTGAACATAAACGGGGGAGGGGGAAAGTACTGAGGAAGGGGAGGAATATTTTTAAAGAACATTGTATACCGGTATGAAGAGGTCATAATGAAGCCCATTTTTTAAAATTTGCAAAAAAGACAAAAACAAAGGCGTGGGGTGGGGGGGGCAAGAAAGAGGAGGTGGGTGTGATCGAGTCATTATGTGCATATATCGACGCATCACAAGGGAACCCCACGTTATACAATTAATACGCGCTAATAAAATGTGCGGGTCGGGGGAATCAGCGCAGACCCGAGGCCGCCTTGTAGGGCGCTGAGCGCGCGGCGGCAGGACCCTGTGTCGCGGGACAGCAAACTCGTCCCAGGCCGCTTCCTAGGGTCGCTGTGGCCACACGAAGACCACGCCCCGCGACACTACATGGGCCTTCACAAGCCAAATTACAAAGACGCCTGTCTTCTCCCTAATCACAATCCTTAACTCCCGGACACTTTATTCTCTGGGTTCGTGAGATGTGGTGACCCGTAACCTCAACTCAGGACTTACCGTCTTCCCCGCCCCATTGGGTCCAACCAAAATTGTGAGGGGCGTGAAGAAAGTGATAATTTGCTTATCTTTGTCCTCTATTCCAAAACTTCGCACGCCCAAAATGCTCATCTTTTCGATCCGGGACATGTTTGCAAACGTTTCAGATCGCAACCCCAGGGACCTGAGCCTGCGGCCCACCGAGGCCAAAGCGGGGCGACCAAGCGCGGGACTAGCACGCGTGCGTCAGGGGGAGGACTCTAGCCCGAACCCTTCCACACCCGCTTCCTTCCCCAATGCCGAGCAAGAGCGAAGCCGGAACCTCCGGGGAAGGCCGCCGGGAACCAAGCACAGGCCAAGCGACCCTGTAACGGGGCGCACTCACAGACTCCCGCCTCGGCAGCCCCGCGGGACACGTGGGTGCGCGCACGTCCACGCCGCACGCGCGGGGCACGCCGGGAAATGGGAGGCTTGCGATGCGCGCGCAGCTCGGACTTCCGGGTGCTGTGTCGCCGGGGTGGCCGCAGGCTTCCTGCTGCTTGCTGGCTCTGGGCGGAAGACCGAGCGTATGACGCACCCTGCTTCTCAAAGCGTGACTCGGGTCTCTTGGAATGCATGCGCTGGGATGGGGTCGAAGACCCACAAAAGGGATCCGTTAATGTCAAAATCATTCTCCTAACGATACTATGTCGTTACTTGCCTATTTCACTTTCTCGCCTTAATGGTCAGTGGTTTCCCACAGTCACGAGTGTGATGACGCCATCACAATGGAATGTATGCTTGTATATACTGCTTTTAAAAAAATCTGAATTTTAATTTCTAATTAAATATTGGTAGTTGTAACTCACATAAACGCTCTTGACGTTCTCAGGTCAAAATTATCCACACATACAAAAATATCACTTGCAGAACCTGATACATAAACTGGAAGAAAAAAAAAAAAATCCATGTGTCTATGGGTACATGGGAAAGGCCAGTGAATAGTTTCTTGCCATCCTAAGTAGGAGAACATGAACACATCAGTTATTACAACAGATATTTAAAATTACCACTAGAAGCCAGACCTGGTCAGGTAGTAGCATTGTGAGTTTGAGGCTAACCTGGGCTAAATAGTGAGACCCTGTCTTAAAAAGCAAAACAAAATTATAAGTAGGACAAAACAGATTGAAATTTACCACAATTTTTTGAATTGTAGTAAAATATACATAACAAAACTTACCCTTAACCATTTTTAAGTGTATGGTTGAATAGCATTAAAGTATATTCACGATTACTGGCTCTATGATTTTGGGGCGGGCACTGGGGGTTGAACTCAAGGCCTTCACCACTTGAGCCACTCCACCAGCCCTTTTTTGTGTTGGAATTTTTTGAGATCAGGTCTCCCTTTTCCTTTTGCCTGGGCTGATGTGGAACCATGAAGCTCCTGATCTCTGCCTCCTAAGCACCTACGATTATAGTCAGGCACCATCATCACCCGATTCTCCATGATTATTGACTAATAATCTCATTTAAGTGGAAATACACAGCATTTGTCTTTTTGTGACTAGCTTATTTCACTAAACATAATGTCCTTAAAGTTCATCCATGGTGTAGCATGAGTTAAAATCTCAGTCCTTTTTAAGGCTGAATAATATTTCATCATAGGCATATAACCCATTTTGTTTATACATTCATCTGTAGACGGACACTAGTTTGCTCCCATGTTTCTGCTATTTTGGAACATGGGTGTACAAATATCTCTTATAGATTCTTGCTTGCATCTCTTTTGGACCAGAAGTGGAATTGCTAGATCGTATTACAATTCTAGTTTTAATTTTTTGAAGAACTGCCATACTGTTTTCTGCAGTGGCCATATCATTTTCCATTCCCATTGCAGTACTATTTTACATTACCACCAACAGGGCACAAGGGTTTCAGTTTATCCACATCCTCACCAACACTTGTTATTTTCTGCTTTTTCCTCCCCTTTGCTACTAGCCAGCCTAAACAGTGTGCAGTAGTCAGTCCCTCACTGCAGTTGTGACTTGCATTTGAATGATGATTGGTGATGCTGAGCAGCTTCTTCTGTGCTTACTGGTTATTTGTCTATCTTCTATGGAGAAACACCTATTCAAGTAAAGACAAAGCCCCAAGTTCAAACACCAGCATTGCCAAAAAGAAATTATATGTATGTATATGGATGGATATATGTATATAATATATATATGTATATTTATAAAACAGCTACATAATTTCTGTGGATTCCTGGATATCAATAGGAAGAAAAACGCATATCAGCACCTTATTTTGCTTACCACTATACATTCAGATGGATGAAGATTAGGTATTTCTGAAAGAAATAAAAGCCCAGAAATATAATTACCCCACTTCTAAAGGAGAATTTTGTGACTCAAAGTACAAGAAACTGGCAATGATTGAGACAAGAATACTGATTTATGTGTCTGATCTCGGTATGAGGTACCCAACATCACCTCTTACGTAGGTTTTTTTTTTTTTAACTTCTTAACTTAAATCTAATCACACTTCTAGATTTAACCTTCAGTTAACAGGAATTATTGGATTAAACTAACAACACTGAACGAATGGAAAAAGCAAATCCAGAAGACAGGACACATTGTAAAACACTGGCCTGGGCTATTAAGCTATCAGTGTCATTAAAACAAGGACTGTTGTAGATTGTTGAAGTTTTTAAAGTAAATAATTATCGTAAATTAAAGAAATGCTACCTATATGTAGCACATGATCCTGGTTTGCACATAGAGATGTAAAGGAAATTTGAAAAATCCACAGAGAAACTTGAACGTAGACTAGAAATTAGATGATGAAAAAATAAGTGTTGTTATAAGAAAATAATGTTTGGGACACATATGAAAGTATTAGTGATAGTGTCATGCTGTTTGTAATTTATTTTAAAATACTTCAGGAAAGAAAAAGTGAGTTGAAGGGAAAAAATGAACATGACAAGGCAGCCAGATTCTATAACAAAAAAATTCAACTTCGTCACCACGGGAAATTATGAAATGAATACCAAAGCCCTAGGATTAGAATGGAAAAGGCTTTCCGGTCAAAATGACTAATTGCTAACATAAAAAGACCTGAAAAGGCAAATCAGTCCAGTCCCCACTTCTTGGTAAAGTTACTTCTGAAAAATACTTGGTTTTGCCTGTACCAAAATTAATGTAACGAAAAGTAAAACTTCCATGAGGCACTACCTTATACCCACTAGTGAACCTCTTCACCCTTACACTACTTTGTAACACGAATTCTTTTTCTGCTATTGATGTTGGTATATGAGCTTTTTCTTCTTTTTCTTTCTTTTTTTTTTTTCTTTTTTTTGCAGTGCTGGGGTTTGAGCTCAGGGCTTTGTGGCGTGAATTATCTTTTGAGTAGAATTTGTCCAGTTTCTCTTTCGATCCCTTGATTTTCAACCTTTTTGGGTCATTTGCATTAAATGTATTTCTTGAAAATTGCTGAGACATTATTTTAATGCCATTTTATAGTATTTGCCTTTTAATAAGTGAGTTTAATTTGTTTTCGATTACTGTGATTCCTGGTAAGTTTGGATTTAGTTCTTATCTTATTTTGTGCTTTTTTCATTATTTTTTCTAAACTGATTGAGTTTCATTATTCCCTATTTTATTCTCCTAGTTTGGAAAGTATTATGCTTTATTTCTATAATTTAAGTTATTACAATTAAGTTTTTCACATGCTATTTTGAAATTCAAAGTTAACATTGCTAGCATCCTTCTGAACACTACCAAGACCATAAAATGTAACAATTCTGACCACCACTCCATCTCCCACACTATCATTATCTGTTATTTTTGTTCCTAATTATCTTGAAATAAGGGACAAAAGTTAAATAAATTTGTTTGTTTGTTGAGACAGGGGCTTTGAACTCCAGATCCTCCTGCCTCAACCTTTCCAGTCTGAGATTATAGGCGTCTACCACCATACCCAGCTAAATAACTTAATTTTTAACCCTGTATTATTTATTTAGGCTTACTAAGACAGTTATCAAACTCAGATTACCTCTGCTGCTTGCATCATTCCTTCCTTCTAGGATCATTCATTCATTACATTAGCAAAACTATTAAAACCTAGTGCTAATGGACCTTCAAGGGAAAAAAACTCCACCAAACTCACAGTGCTGATGTCAGAATTAAACACATTTATTTTTGTGAAAGTGCTTTATAAGTTATAAAAAATTAAAAATACAAGAGATGTCTTCTTTGTGCATTGATTTTTTTTCAGAGTAAGAGTTGGTAAAATGCAATGAAACCTATAAAGATGATCACACCCATTCCTTAGCATAAGGAAATTTTTTTCAAAAATTCTACAAAGGAGAGCTGGGTATGGTGACTTAACCCTGTAATCCCAGCACTCAGGAAACAGAGGCAGGAGGATCAGGAGTTGGAGGTCAGCCTGGGCCATGTAGCAAGACTCTGTTCCAAAATAACCAACCAAACTAAAATTCTATAAAGAGCTCTGTCATCGCATTGTTTAAAACTGTGGAATGAATGCTAGAGACAACCCTAAGTCCTAAAGTTGGGAAATAGTGAAGTAAACCAATGCATGAGTTTCATCTAATATCAGGAAGGCATTAAAATAATAAGTAGGAAAATGATATGGAAATCCAGGTGAGAAATATTAATAAGGAAAAATAAATGCAAACTGCATATTCGCTGATTACCACTCTGAGAAAACCTGTCGTGCATTAGTGAAGATTGAAAGATGTCACAAAAAACTGATAGTTGCTACGCCAAGAGGAAGGAAGCTCAGTGTTCAGTTTCTTATAATGTCCTTGCCCAATAAAACTCATATTAAAGCGCTGCCTTTTGATCGAAAGATCAGAGGTTAAGATGGAGTCAAAGACAGGAGATGCTATCAATCCACATTTAGTCACCACAAAAACTATGGGGAATCATACCCATAATATTGATTAGCATCAGTTCATGGAAAAGTCATTTGCATTAAATGACTACACAGTAAAAACCACAGTCATCCCTTAAAAAACCATGTTACAAATTTGTAACACATGAAAAGAGATAAAGGTTTATGGCAAAAGGATGACTGTTATCCACTAATACATACCTTTCCAAACACTATTATTTTTAATAAATATAATATATTATTACACAATAATGTGTATTATAGCATATAAGGTTACATATCACATGCTATTAAATAATATTTTTTACATATTAAATACTTAATATTGTTATAAATATATGGAACATTATTCAAAGACCTTTTTCTAAGTTGTAAATTATCAATAATTCTTTAAAATTTAGAGAACTGCTTGCTAAGTTATTTTTAATGTAGATTTTTAAAAAATGTTGTAATAGTTCACATTGGCTTGATTGGGTGAGACTTAAAGATTTGATCTTTTTTCCAGGAATCCTGCCAAAGTTGTTTTTATACCTCATCTTTTTTTCCCAACTTGCAGTATAACTTTCTAATAAGTTTTACACCTAAGTGTAAACAAAGCAAGGTCTAGTCATACAAATGGAATATTATTCAGCCTTAAAAAAGGAAGGACATTCTCACACACACCACAACATGATAAACCTTGAGGACAGACATTATGCCACGTGAAATAAGCCAATCACAAAAAGACAAAACATGTTCCCAGAGTAGTCAAACTTATAGATACAGAATGGTTTCTAGGTGTTGGCAGATGGAGGGAATTGGGAGTTATTATTTGCTAATTACAGAGTTTCAGTTGTGCAAGATGAATAGAGTTTGGAGATTTGTTGCATATTATAAATATACTTAACACTACTGAACAGAGCACTTAAAATAATTGAGAAGGTATATTTTATGTTGTATATTTTACAACAATCTAAAATTTTTAAAGAAATATAACTTTGAATAGAAAGTATTTTTTATAACTAACCCTCCAGTAGGAAACCACAGCTTACTGAACACCAGAGGCTACAACATCTGAAAATCAGGAGATTATTCATATTAACTGGGATTTTAGATTTCTTTGAAAAACTGGGTATCTGTCAGCATAAGCCTGAGGGTATCAGAGCACACAGTTAACTGGGACTGGATAGCACCTGGAGTTTTAGATGGACAGTACAGGCTATAGTTAACGCAGCCCTCACTGCCTGTACTGTTACCTCTCCCATTTCACTCATTTTCACAGCCAACCAGTATTACTCCCCTGAAAATAATGAGTGCTTGGTGCATTTTCTACCAGTTGGTGAAGGCTAGTCCATTGCTATCCCTGCATTCGGTCAGCCAAATAGAATAGAATGCCAAAAGCTTTATGGTACTAAAATTACAAGTTATTTTTTAATGCCTCTGAAAACTTCATCTAAGCCCACACTTTCCCAGTGTACCCAAAGCATCAGAGGGGAAGCAGAGAGAATTATTCTCTCACAGTCTCTGAGAAAAGGTGGCCCTGACAGAACAAAGCTCGATTCTGAAATCCCCATTTTAGGACCTTGGTCCATGTCTACAGTGGTTCCTATCTCACTCCTAAGAGATCTGCTAAAGATCTCCTGCAGTCATAAGAAGAACCTCTCTCAAGTGCTCAAATCAGAGCCAAGAGTCCCAAATTTCAGTATTGTAGTATACACACACACACACACACACACACACACACACAAAACCAGACATGGCATAAGTGACTGCCACTGAAATGCTACCCTTTCATCCTGCCAGTGTAGAACTGGGATTGCATGCATGTTAAAAGTGTGTCTACCTTGCATCAACCTCTGCTTCTCGTGGAGAATCCCACTCAGCTTTGGCAAAGGATTCTGGGTAACAATTTGTGCTTGGTACCATTTATCTTAGATGCTCAAGATAGTCATAAAATCAGGCTTCCAGGGCCACTTTGAGAGGTACATTGAACCCTTCCTTTAAAAACAACTGCCTCTACTTCTATTATGTGTACTCAGCCAGGGAAGAAGGAGGTGTGTGGTCCAGAGAGAGGCCTTACTTTTTCTTTTCTGAAATTACAGGTCTGAGCCTAAGGCCCAAAAGTTGATTTCCCTTGATTACACACACTCATACATAGCCACCCAAGGTGTGAAAGGACCTCCCCACCTTCATGGTACATACAGGAGAGGCCATGCCCATGTGTCATGTGTTTGCAACAGATATTTATTGGTTGCTTTCCCAGCACCTGTGTCCCTCTTATAGCTACCTGGGATGCCAAATTCCTCAGTTATATGGTTTGGGTGGGATGAAGCCCATTTCTAGCTCAGGAAGATCCAACTAGTATATTTTATACACCTAGTCACAGTTCAGGGGTAAATATACGAAACTTGTCACAAAGAGATTGAAACATTTTGATTGAATAATAAGAAAAGCAAAATGGGAGCCAGGTGTAGTGCAGCATACATCTATTCCCAACACTCAGGAGGCAGAGGCAGCAGGATCAAGAGTTCAAGACCAGCCTGAGCTACATAGTAGAGAGAGAGAGAGAGAAGAGAAGAGTGAAAGGGGGAGAGAGAGAGAGGGGGATAAGGAAGGAAGGAGGAAGTGAAGGAGGAGGAGAAAGAAAAAAGAAAAGAAAATCTGCTGCTCGTGACAAGCTATAGATAGATCTAGGAGTTATGGCATTGCCTTGGGACCACAGAGGGGGACAGCTGCCTGAGAATGAGGACAAGGACAAGTAACCCATGCAAGCAGGACAGGAAGGAGCCTCTACCCCTGGACTGTTTGGTTATATGAGCCAGCAAACTTTCTGCTTATCTTCACCCATTTTGGGTCAGGGTTTTGGTTACCGGGAACAGAAAAGAATTCTAATCAAGACCCTACTGAACACAATTCGACCCTGACAAGTCTCTGCTTTAATACTATCTTCCTAGCAATGTTTTTTATTCCTTTTAAACCGATCAATCTAACTATAACCATGGTTGAATTTAGTAGATCTGGAAAAAATATTCCCAATATTTATGGATTTTAGCATAAAATTCTGTTTAGCAGTATATATTATTTCTTTTTACACACACCTTTTCAAAAGAAATCCAATCTTTTGATCAAGTGCAAATGGGAGACAATGATGCATCAACCCAAATATTTTCTTTTGTCATAGAAAATCTTTTGAAGGGAGAGAAGTAGGGATTTCTGTTATTATTGAAAGATAAAAAGTTATTTTTTTAAGATACAATGCATTGGAAACATTTAGTTTCACTACTTGCCATTATTAGGTATTCTCTATCTGATTGTTAGCAATTATTCATTTCCTCAAAGACAGAATAAATTGGTTGGAGATGTCGTCTTGTGCTGTGCACTTTCTTCATCAAACACAAACGGTGGACGTTTCAGAGCCATGAGAATGCTTCTGTGGTTGACTTTTCTAGCTCTTGGAGCTGCCCACCTTTGGGCCATTGCCGTGGACAGTCCTGTGAATATACTGGTGAAAGAGACCTTGACACTGCTCTCGACTCATCAGGCTCTGCTGATAGGCAATGAGGTAATTTTTTTTATTCCTATAGTTCTTTAAAATGCATAAATAATCATTTGTGGTGGCTCATTTACAACTTCTAAAGAGCTGTTGTAAATAGGAGATTGTAAGATTGTTAACAGTACACAGGTGATAGCCACATCACTAGTACTGCTATGAATGTCACGAATGCTGGAGTGCTTTAAAAGTGATTATATGTCCTTTTCTTTCCAGTCTCTGAGGATTTCTGTTCCTACACATAAAAATGTAAGTTAAATTATGATTCAATAAATGATCGTGTGAGTAAGTAAATTTCATCTTTTAAGCTTTAAGTCATTAGTTCGCTGTCTTCTTTTATTTGGTACTGGGTCTCACTTTGTTGCCCCAGATGGTCTCAAATTTCTGAGCTCAAGTGGTCCTCCTCCTGCTTCAGCCTCCCGAGTATCTGGCTTTGTGTCATCATACTTAGCATGTCATTAATTTTCACTGGAACTGTTTAATTTTCTCTACTTCATTTTCATATTAGTGGATGTGAATTATGTGCTTACAAATATCAGAAATGAGGGTCAGGTGTGATGGTTCCTGTAATCCCAGTCCATGGTAGGGTGAGGCAAGAGGATGGCAAGTTCAAGGCCAGCCTGACTATATATCGAGACCCTGTGCCAAGATAATAATATAAATAAATAAATAAATAAATAAATAAATAAATAAATGACTTTTAACCAGTAGAATCCATTATGCAAGTGGTTCAAACCCTTTGGTAATATCGTCAGCTTTCCATTCTAGAGCCTCACATCACATCAGGGAGTCTTTCAGAATTCCAAATGCGGAGAGAGGGGACCTATCAGTCACCAACCAGTGCTGACCATCCATGGCCTTCCTCACTCCAATGTCTCTCTCTCTCTCTCTCTCTCTCCCTCTCTCCTTTTCTTGCAGTGCTGGGGAATAAATCCAGGCCTTATACATGCTAGACAAATTTCGTATCACTGAACTATACCCCCAGCTCACTCTAATGTCTTTCTGAAAGAGTGAGTGACTTAGTGTTGTCTTTTTAGAATCATGAACAGTAGGCATTAAAATATACAACAAATGCCCTCTAGTGATAATTTTTACATAGTTAAATGATTATGACTATATATAGTATTGTATACAGACATCATGGTCACATTCAAATGTAAGCTACATTATTTAATTAATTTGGGTAGAGTAAAATTATCAGCCTGACCCACAAAAGAAAACACGAGTTTAATTAGTACTAGAATTACATTATGCTTCCTGAACATTTCATTTTTGATTAAGTAGTTTCTTAACCTTGTTTGTAATACTCTTCAGTAATTATAAAACTTCATCTACCTATTGAAACTTTTGTCTCAGCTTGAGGTAGTTTGCCACCTGGAAAAGGAACAGGCAAAAAAAAAAAAAACTCTTTGGAGAGAAGTAATTATCACCAAAAAAGCTTAACTTTTTGGATCAAGTTTTTTCACTGACAAATTAAAATTGTATATATTTATTGGGTACACTGTGATGCTTTGGAATATGTAAACATTGTGAGATGGGCTAATGTATCAAATTTGTATACCTTATCTTATTTGCATTTTAAAAATCTTCCTCATTTAGCACCAACTGTGCATTGAAGAAATCTTTCAGGGAATAGACACACTGAAGAATCAAACTGTACATGGGGATGCTGTCGAAAAACTATTCCAAAACTTGTCTTTAATAAAGAAATACATCGACCTCCAAAAAGTAAGATACAAACATTCCACAGGAACTACATTTGCCCGACTGTGCCTATTTCTACAGAAATTGATGGTTTCCCTGTAATACCTATGGTCTATTCTTCTCACAGGAAAAGTGTGGCCAGGAAAGACGGAGCATAAACCAGTTCCTAGATTACCTGCGAGAGTTTCTTGGTGTAATAAGTACTGAGTGGACAGTGGAAATCTGAGACTGAGCTGGCTGACTGAAGATGGATATACTGTTTTTCTTTAATTAGTTTTGTATTTGATTCATAAAAACACACACAAGAAATGTAACGGGGTACCATGTGATGTTTTAATAGATGAATGCATTGTATAAACAGGTTAAACATCTATGTCCTCAAACATGTCACTTCATATGGCAAATACATTTAAACTTCCTTTCTTCTAGCTTTTTGAGATACACAGTACACAATCACTTGCTCTAGCCACCCTGCTGTGCAATCACACACCAGTATTTCTTACTCTTACCTAACTGCAACTTAGTACCTACCCACTGATTAACTTCTCCTCTCTCTCCTTCCCCTCCCTTCTCCCCAGCCTCTGGTAACCACCATTCTGCTCTCAATGTCTATGAGACCAACAGTTTCACATTCTACATATAAATGAGATCACGCAGCAGTACTTGTCCTTGTGTGCCTTGAGTAGCCAAAGATATTGGAGGAGGAAAAATAACATTTTATTGCAATAATAATGAGAACCAGTCAAGGGCGGGGCCTTACTTTTCAGTGTCATTGAACTTCAGAGGCAAAGTAAATACTTCAGGCACACTGCCACTTTTCTGCCTCAACACAAGCAGAAAGCATAAAATAGTTAAGATACACTTTAGCAATGAGAATCATTGAAGTATTTTCCTCCAGCTTGCTCCAGGCAAAATAGATAAATACTTTTATTTAAGTTAACATTCTGTAAAATGTCTATGAACTTAATATTATTTATGATTAAGAATTGGTAAAATAATATTTATTTCATGCTATGTGATGTTTCAATAAAACAAAAAGGGTAATTCTCATGCAATTTGCTACTTGCCTCTGTCTTTTTTTTTTTTTTTAACCCTGAAGACAAGGTCTTGCTATATAGCCTAGGCTGGCCTTGAACTTAAGATCTTCCTGCCTCAGCCTCCCAAATTCTAGGATTTCAGGCTTGCACTGCCACACCCAGCGTGGCCTCTGTCTTAATACTTGAAATTTGCACAGCCCATGTACAAACATTTGGAGTTTAGAAGGAGGGCCTTCCAAATGCATGCTGGGTGGCACTCCCACCTCCCTGGTGTCAGAATTCTTAGGGCTGCTGGGCTTGCCAAGGGTGAAAGTGATCCAGCAGGACTTGATAGAGATGTGGGGAGCAGGGACAGGGGCAGGGACTGAATCTGGTTTCCTCTCCACAGTAGTGTACCCAGAGCTTAAAATGGCCTGAGTAAACAGCAGGGGATGAATAAATGAATGACTGAATGGGACTTCCAGGGCTGGGTCTAGAATTAAAATAAGTTTAAGGCTTCCCCTAAGAGGAGGACAGTGTGGGAGCCTGAACTTCCCAGCTTGTGAGAAAGACAATCTCACTGCTAAGTCAGTGAGGAAGCTAGAAATGCTCTTTTTGGTGGTCCAGAGCACTGTGGCCTGGAGGAGCTCCTCCTCCCCTCCAGTACAGCATTGTAACAAGGGGAGAAGAGACTTGCTGCTGGGGCAGATCATTCCCATGCTTGGGTCCTGGAGGGGCCCAGGCAGAGTAGCACCAGGTTGACTACCCCCATCTGCCTACCTACGACCACTGTGAGTAAAAACAGAGTTCTCTGCTGGAGAAAGTTTATTGAGGATTCAGAAGTTATGCTATTTGTAAAACATAAGATAGATAATAATAATAATAATATACACACTATATATATATATATATATATATAGAGAGAGAGAGAGAGAGAGAGAGAGAGAGAGAGAGAGAGAGACTTACTATGTAGCCTAGTCTGGACTTAACATATGATTCTCTTGCCTCAGTCTCAATTATAGACTCAGGTCACCACACCCAGTGAAATATATTTTCAAACTGAAATAGACCTGAAAAAAGAGACCCAGTAACCGTATTCAGCATTGCCATTCATGTCTTCATTTCTGCATTCAACAAGTATGCATGATTTGCAGGCCTTATGCTGGTCCAGGACCCGGGTGTGGGCCTGTGCTGAAAGTTCTCAATGACCAGGGCTATTCACCTGGGTCATTACCCTGGGCATTATTGTTTCCACAATTTCTTGGCCTCTCCTCTAAAGGAAGGATCCTCCCCAAAAAAGGGGTACATTTTTCTACTCTGTGTAGCACAAGTTTATTCAATTGGCCAAAGATTGGAGTAGCTCCCAAGTCAACTTCTCAACCCTTTAGGGGGTCGGGACGTCATAGGGTAGAAGAAACAAGAAGGATCAGCTAATAACAGGAGGAACATTCATGTCTTCTCTGGGACTTGGTGGAGATTTCCCGGGGATTCCAGTACTACTCATTTTTGCTCCTTTTCTGGGTCCCTTGTCAACTGCTGTGTCACTTAGGATGCAGATGGAATGGTAGCAAAGTTAAAGGTCAGCTGCAGTTACTCTGGTAGCCATCTTGGGTCCACCCAGCTTGGCTAACCCACCCAAAGGGGAAACTTTGCCCTTTAGACATCCTGTCCTCAAAGATAAACAAGGGTGGGGTGGAAATTCGGTTAGGTCATGTTGCCAATGTGTGCATGGCAGCTATGCTGGGCTCTAGTGTGTGTGTGAAACAATGCCATCTTCTGTGTCTAGGGGTGGAGGGGGCTCAGAGCAGCCAGATTTCCCAGGTGAGGGAACAGAGGAAGACGTGTGTGCCTTCAAGCACAGGTCCAGGCGCAGTGGTCGGGACTCTGCCCACCAAGGCCCAGATTCCCACCTCATGTGCACACCATGAACCACGAGCTGGGCCAGTGAAGGAGGAAGGTAGATGAGCACAGCAGCACGCTGGCTGCTCTAGAAGCTGACAGGAAACAGGAAGCTCCACTTATAGAATCTCAACTTCATTCAACCTGGCAAATACTTACTGAGCTCCAAAATGTTCCAGGACTGTTCCAGAGACCAGAATCCATCAGTGAATAAAATAGAAATTCCTTGACTGTAGACTAATATTTTCTGTCAGGAAAAGCTCATTTCTCCCACTTCTTTTCTTCTTTCTTTTTTGGCGTGGAAGGGGTACGGGAGTTTGAACTCAGGGCATATACTTTGAGACAGTCCACTGGCCCTTTCTTGTGATTTTTTTTTTTTCAAGATAGGGTCTTGTAACCTGTCTTGCCCAGGGCTGGCTTTGAACTGTGATTCTCCTGATCTCTGCCTCCTGAGTAGCTAGGACTACAGGTGTGAGCCACCAGTGCCCAGATCTCCACTTCTTTATCAGGGTTAATAGTGTTAATACGGATTTAAGACTGGAATATAATGTCTAAAACCTCACTTATGAACCCTCACCAATTTACCAGGCTCCAGAGAAGCTGAAAGCAATCAAGCCTGTTTAAAACTAACCAAAATGGAACTTCTCAGATGTACTAAGGTTTTCTTTAAGGCAAAAGCCAGGATTCTCAAGGTGTCTCTACTTTCCTGTAGAAACAAAAGCATCCTGGATGCCCCTGGACAGAGGGAGTGAGCACCTGCAAGTCCCATCTGCTGACCGCACACCTGACAACTGTGGGGCTCCAGGTTCCCGGGCTTCAGGGGAAAATAGGTTGATTATAAGAAACACTTTCATGAATCTTGCTTTTCCTCTCAAAAGCTCATCCCCACAATAAAGTCTATTTTCACTTCATTTTACTGACACCACTGTCCTTGCCCAGCAGGAGGAGCCAGAGGGAATATCAGGCTGGTTTTAGAAGGCACATAGGACCTTTCCAGAGAACACATCAACATAATGCATCCAAACCCAAAGTCACTCGCTGTCGGCCCTCTCCCTGCCACAAAACCTACAGCTGCTCCCTCGCCTCATCCTCTACCTCTTTCATTGAGTGTCCTTATTTTTGCTAATATATCATTACCACCTCCTCATCACCTTAAGGGCCAGCTCCCTAAATTTGACTCTCTGTGCCTGCCACCCACCAATCAGCCTTTCAATTGTCCGATTATCCCTGTTCATCCCCACTGCCTTAGTTCAACTTTTTCCTGTCACCTACACTCAGCCATCACCAGCTCCCTACCTCAGGCTGTCCCATCTACAGAGTCAGTGCTGTTGACAAAATGTACACATGTCCACACATCACAATTGGCCATAAAATCCTCAGCTTGCTGCCATCTGAAACCCAGTCTCCTTCACAAATCATTTGAGGTCTACCTCTGCTCCTTGTCATCACTTGCAAGAAAACATTACCCAGAAGCCCTGCTCCTGTTATTTTAAATGGGAAAGTTTGAGTGTACAGCATTGCAACCCCAAATCTTCAAGCAATTGAATTCAGGGCCCTTCATACTTGCCAGACAAGGGCTCTACTGCTTGAGCCACGCTGTCAGTCCTTTTTACTTTAGTCTCCATTGATAGGGTCTTGCACTTTTGCCCAGCCAGCCTCAGACTGTGATCCGCCTACTTCTTTTTTGCATTATGATATTTTTCCAATATATCTTAGGCAGGTGCTTAACCAATGAACCATGTGCCCTGTCTTTTTTACTTTAGTTATTTTTCAGGAAGGTCTCAAGTTTGTTTTTTTTTGTCTGGGTTGGGCTGGACCATAATCATCCCACTTTATGCCTCTTGTGTAGCTGGGATGACAAGCAGGCACCATCATGTCCAACTTTTCTGTTGAGATGGGGTATGGTTGGGATTACAGCTGTGAGCCACCATACCTGGTTTTGTATGTGTGTGTGTGTGTGTGTGTGTGTGTGTGTGTGTGTGTACAGAGACAGGGTCTTACTATGTAGCCTCCAGCTGGCCTCAAACTCACCATGAAGTCTAAGCTGGCCTTAAACTCTTAATCTTCTTGCCTCAGCTGTGATTATAGGCATGTACTATCACGCCTGGCCCCCATGTCTTTTCATGGCTTAATAGCTCCTCTCCTCGCCTCTCTCTCTTTGTCTCTCCTGTCCTTCCCTTCCCTTTTCCCTCCCTCCCTCCTTCCTTCCTTTTCTATCCTTCCTATTCTTCCTTCCTTCCTTCAACCCTTCCTTCCTTCCTTTCCTTTCCTTCTTTCCTTCCTTCCTTCCTTCCTTCCTTCCTTTCTTCCT